GGAGCCCAGAGGCCTTTAAGGGGCCCCTATGCACCCTGAGTCTGGCTTTTGCCTGAGCCTCTCCCCGAAACTATTAGCCATTCTTTTAACCACCCTGAAGCCCTCTCCCATGCATTGGACCAAATGAAACAACAAAGATTTGCAGCAAAAATTAAAAAAAAAATGTATAACAGACACTGGGCTCACTGGCTCACTTTTCAACATATATTAAATGCCCAATGTACACACTTTTAAACACGAAAAATCTGATTTTGGAAGCACTCCTTTGGGAAAAAATAAACATGTAAATATAAAAACAAATTGGCTCCAATCTAATCTCTAACACAATGAAGAGAAAAACAGCAACACAAGAGCAACAAAAGCAAATAACGAAACAGGCCCCCCCAACACTTAAAATGAAGCCGGACCCAGGAGAGAACGGACGGGGCGACCCACAGACCCCCGACCAGCACAGACAAAAGGCTGTGGTGTCAGCAAGCAAGCAGCAGGCGAGCGCACGGCATAGGGAGCAATCCCAGGAGACGGCTTCCACTTAATGATGCGCTAACACAGGCAATTAGGCTGCACAAACTAGGCTCATCAGCACAGCCACCTCGTCCTGGACACTCTGTAATTAGGACCGAGAGCCGCAGACGTCGTATGTGAAATGAGACTCTTTGTACATCAGGATTTCAATCTGTGGAAGCAGAGGATGGAAAGCTAACTCAGGCTCCTGATGTACTGCGTGACGTTGGGCAAGTACCGCATGACCTTGGGCAAGTCACGAGACCCCTCCTGGCTCAACCCCCAGCATGGGTGGTTCATGCCCAGGTGAGCCGTCCCCAGGCAGGAGTGAATGGCTTCCAGAGAAAGTGCTTTCCAGAATGTTAACTGCAGCACCTGTGAAGAGCAGGGTGAAGGGCCTAGAGCGGGAGGACTGTCAGGGACACCACCCACCAGGACCACACACACAGCATTAGCAATCGGCAGACACAGCCCTTTAAATGCCTCGGCCCAGCTTCCCACCCAAGTGTACGTAAGACGGAAAGGTCTCCCATATGAGATCGCCAGTCTATCCACTTATCCCTGACAAACAAGTGACTAAAACCTACAGTTTTGGGGAGAATTAAGGGACACACAGTAATTTGTAATTTATGTAGATTTTGGCTTATACAGATTTTTTTTAATCCTTACCTGGGGATATGTTTATTGATTTGAGAGAGAGAAAAACATCAATCGGCTGCCTCCTGTACATAGCCCCATGGGTGTTGAACCCTCAACTCAGGTATGTGTCCTGACTGGGAATTGAGCCCACAGCCCTTTGATACACAGGACGACACTCCAACCAACTAAGCCACCAGGCCAGGGCGGCTTACAACGATCTTGCTTGACTTGTTCTCACAATTACTGTCAGAGCAAAATGTTGATGTAAGTTTTCTTATCGTCCTATGAATACAATGAATACAAGCTGGGAAGGTAACTGATTAAAGCTTTAGTGGGGGTTTGCCTTCGTTAAACAGGATGCTTTGACTTGATATTTAACAAATGACTAGAATTTTAAAATATATATACAAGAGTTTTAAATTCTGCATACAAAACAACTCACATTGGGATGCATAATAGAACAATCCACACATAAAATGAAACTGTTTGCAATTCAGATAAGTCTGTATTAGCTCCCTCTGGGAGAGGGAGGTAGGGAGGGAGGGACGGAGGAAGAAGGGTGGGGCTTACAGTTTCCTTGATCAGAAATTTAACACAAGTGTTTGTGCACCACCTAGCTGTGCTCATTCTGTATGAGAGGAAACCACTCTTCCTTATGCAGGATCTTGACTAAACTATCACATGAAAGTCAGATACTATAGTTAAACATTTGTTAAAAAATACCCCAGAACATAGGGGGTCCACTGGATATCGTCAATAAAATGTCAAAACAAACAAACAAAAACAGGGACTCTCCCTCGTCCTTAGAGAACGAGATGAGGACTCCGTGACAGTCACCACACTCACCAAAGCCCACTGCGCGCCACTGTCACCCACGGCAGAGCAGGCTGCAGACACGCACTGGCAGGTAACAGCATTTGAAAAGACTTAAATTCACAATTTCCGAAACCCAACTGCAGGAACGAAAATCCCGCACGCTCCGTCACGAAGACCACGGCAAGTCCACCATCCTCCTCCAGATGGAGCACGTGAGGCTCCCAGGGACCTGGGTACCACCTGCCCCAGCCCAGCCCTCCCCTCCGCAGCCAGGGGGCAGTCTACAGTTCTGGGTGACTGTCCCAGGTTCGTCCCCTATGGGCTTCCATGTCACCAAGGCTTCCCATTGCATCCCCATCCCTAACCAGAGCTGGAAGGCTGGTGCTCAAATTGGGAATGAATGAATGAATGAATGAATGAATGAATGAATGAACGAACAAATGAACCAACCTACTTCCCTGCCTCCTGACATGCTTACTGCTAACAGAGAACCTCCCAATAGCCATTTGACCACCACACGAATGAAGCAAAGGAAACAGATGTTCTGTTTTCCTATTATTTTCACAATTTACTTTCAGTTTCAGGGCACAAGAAGTCAAAGGTTAAAGAAGTAAAGAATCCAGTCCCTGGTCACTTAAAAAACAAACCCAGGTGGCCAGCCGACTGGGCGCTCAGCCTGTGGGGCGGCTGGGATTGAATATGTAACGCCCCAGGCCTGTTTCCTTCTTCTATTGATAAGCTAAATGTTACATAGGAATACTACATTTTTTCTTTATCTTCTCTTTCTGAAAAGCAAACACATAAAACGGAAATAAATAAAAGTGCCAGGGCATACAGGAGGCCAGAAAGTCCAAGGAGAGAGCCACGTACTGAGTCTGCGCGTGGACAGTGAGCAGCGCCCGGGGCCATCCCCCTGCCCAGGCCTCCCCCCCGGCGGCAGGACCGGGGTTGCGTCCACTAATGACTACACGGTTAAGGCTCTAGGCTCAGGGTCCCAAGACGGGATCTAATCCAGGCGCAGCGCCTTTGGTCAAGCGACGTAACTTTTCTGAGCCTCGATGTCTAACTCTAAACTTGACAAGTCTTCTCCTTGTAATGAAAATGGACAGTTCCTGTTAATGATGTGAAGTGCTGAGGATGGTCCCCACTCGGTTAGCAACTACTTCGACTAACAATTACAGAGTCCATGATTTAATTAAAAATATATATACACACACATATGCTATATAATTACCATATGAAATGTGCTAAGTAACCTCAATTTTATTTTTAAAACTTACTGCTTGGCCGGTATGACTCAGTGGTTGAGCACTGACCTAGGAACCGGAAAGTTACGGCTCGATTCCTGGTCAGGGCACATGCCCGGGTTGCGGGCTCGATCCCCAGAGTGGGGTGTGCAGGAGGCAGCCGATCGATGATTCGGAGAGAAGTCTGTTGACAGGAGCAGGCAGCTGGCTGGACCTGGCCCTGGGCCTAGTGGGGACCCTTCACTGACATTTCACCTGAACGTTCAGAGGGTCTGGGCTCCGCGATGTGAATGGTGACCCTGCCTGTCGGGACCTGAAGAAGCCCACGCGCCTCTGTGTCCAGTGCTGCCCAGCTGGCTGACGCTCTCGGAGCCACCAGTGCAGTGCGGCCCTGCACGTGCGGCCACAGGTTTTAATTGGGGGTTTGCCCCCCCAGAGGCCCTGGGAATGGCCTGAGGAGGCCCATGTAAATGTGAGGGACTCGATCTCTGAAATTTAATAAAATGCTACTACAGAGTGGTATTCCTTCAATTTCATCTGAACACTAATTTGGACATTGGAAAGAAAAGCATACAGTCCCGGTTTGGGGGAAGTTACCCCCAATTTTACTAATATTAGCAGGTCTCCGCCAGGACTGGTGCAGAACAAAGCCTCTGTGACCTCTGGGCGGCTCGGGCAGCCTCTGAAGACACCACGCCCGCCTGCCCGCTCTGCCCCAGCCCCATGGCATCACAGCTGCGGGACAGGGAGGTGGGGCTGCCACCGAGGATTTAAACCAGAAGGGAGGGGACCCAGGGGTTATTTCCTAGGAGTCCCATCTGGAACGGGACAGATGGCCTGGCCAGTGTTGCTCAGTGGTTGAGCGTAGGTAGCCCTATGAACCAGGAGGTCACGGTTTGATTCCCAAAGCACATGCCCATCTGTTGTGGGTTCCACCTCCAGTAGGGGGCGTGCAGGAGGCAGCTGATCAATGATTCTCATTATTGATGTTTCTATCCCTCTCCCTTCCTCTCTCTGAAATCAATATTAAAAAAGGAGGGGGGGACAGAAAGATATGGGACAGATGATGGGAACATCTTTCTCCCAGGTCTTCAACCATGAGTCAGTCACCTTACCCCGACCTTCTAGAACCCTCCAGGCGATAGGCCACCCTTCCCTCCTGCCATCAGTCCCCTCTCCCACCTCACAAATGGCATTACAATTATCTACGTAAGCAGTCACCCCTCGGGTATGGCACGCTCCCTCCCAGGACACCGTCCTCTCTGGCCTGTGGCCGTCCCTGAAGGCAGGAGTTCAACAATGAACCCCATCACAGAGACCATTCCTAAACTTCATGCAGCCCCACCCTGAGTCTGAGTGTGTGTTTTTGTTTTTGTTTTTTTGCCCAAACTGGGCTCTTATTTCTTTCAGCTTATTCTCCTCAAAGACTAACATGAAGTACCTAAACCTTTTGGAGAGATGGGCGTGAACTGGGACTGTGAACCGCGGTGCAGAAGAAACGGCGCCACGCGTAACCGTGACCACCGTGTGCACAAACAGTTCGAGAAGCGTTTCATCCCGAGCACCACGCGGCCCCGTGATGTGACATTGAATCGGCTGCAGGGTGGCTTCAGAGGTCAGAGGAGGGGTTTTGTCCCATCACACGAAGGTGCCACTTGGAGCGGCACAGAACTGGCATCGCCCCTGGAATGCGGAGCTCAGACTCGCCCCCCTGCCCACACGTCAGAGGACTCTGCCCCGCGTGGACGCGGCTGCTGTGTGGGAAGCGGCGCCGTGTGCACGGCGGGCACTCACCGTCCTGAAAGACCCTCTCCACGTTCAGGCCGTACGTGGCACACGTCTCGTAGTATGTGCACCGCTTCAGGTCGCTGGAGAGCTTCCGCGCCCGGGAGTCGTCGATGACCCGCGGGTTGGTGGAACTGATGGCGTCTGGAACAGACAAATGCATAGCGACACGGTGACCACACGCGGCTGCAATTCCTGCCACAACCTAAGATCACCGAGTAGCCAAAACCCGCACCTTCCCTGTAGGGACAGGATCCTTTTCCGAACCTGGAGTTTTTAAAATACAGTCTACCCCCGCAATCATCATCTCACACGCTAGACTAGTCGTCACTAGCAGAAGTCTGTTTCCGGGGATCCTGCTTCTGAATGGAATAAAGGACTGCCCAGAAAGACCAGGAGAAGGAGTGGGAGTTAAATGTGGCCCCAGAGGAAAAGATCTGAAACAGGGAGAGCCCCAGGGTTGCTGTCTGTACGTGACCTGCTGATGCACAAAGCACGTGCTGAAAGCATCCTGCACACCAGCAGGTCCCTCGGTGCCCACCAGCACCATGCTCGCAGCCTCCGTGGGAGTCTGATCCGGTTCCAGGCACAGACAGCCCAGTTTACACAGCAGGCAAAACCCCACACTCCCAGGGGGGTATCCAAGTCGGCTGGGGAGGGAGGAGAAAACAATAAAGATGAGGAATGAGACAGACGCAGGGCGCTGCTGGGGGCTGAGTGGGACGGGGTGGGATGAGGAGGTCAGGGAACTCCTTTTTGTCCCACTCGTCTTCCGAGATGTGCTGTCACCAACAGAAGGGGGCCTGGCCACCCTGCCCTCAACGCTGCAGCACGATGCGCAATGCTCTCCCTCAGACCAATTTAATCTGCAAGCCTTGAAAAAAGACCTGCTTAGCAAACATCACAATCACCTCATCCAGAAATGAGGTCCACATGCCCCGACTCTCCCGGAGAGAGGACCCATGCTCCAGCCTCCTCCCACGCCGGCTGAGCCCCACAGCAGCCGTTAAGGAAGGAACTTAGCTCATCTTTCCCATCCCCCACCTCCAGACCTGAGGGGTCCAGATGCTGGGGCTGACTCTCCCCTCTGCTCCTGACCACGTGAACACTGATGTGTAAGGTAAGGCACCACTCAGATAGAACCTTTGGCCCCATTGAAAGCTCACCCACTCCCTGTCCTAGTGAGCCTCCAGCAAAAAGGCACGTGAGTCCTCAACGCGACCCCCTGAACTTGGGCAGCTGGTGAGGAGACGCCCACAGAGCCTGACTTTGCTCAGAAATACCCTGGGCAGGCTGCAGGAAGGGGCGCTTATTGGAAATGAATCGCTTCATCTTTAAGAAGCTTTAAGCAGGAACTGCTTTAGATGAGCTACTCACCCTAAAACATTAAGAATTGTCAAGCCATCAACTCAAATGTGCCAATTCTGTACATAACAGACCAAGGACTTTTAACCGGCATGCCCTGTTTCCTGTTGACCACTAGAGGGCACTCTACGCATAAAGAACTTCTCTCCTATTGGGTTTTAGGTTGAATTTCCCCACCTGAAGATTTCGCTTATTCCACCACTTGCCATTTAGAAATATGCTTTAAAAAGAGCAGGGGTCAGAAGTGCTCTCCATGAAGCTGTAAAAAGTGAGCCTTCAGCAGGAAATTGTTTCTTCTTTAAACCACTTTGAAGTTGCCCCACACCAAACACACAGACCATGAATACACTCACTGCTCCACTGCTAAAATCCTTATTTTTAAAAAATATGTTTTTATGATTTTAGAGAGAGACGGAGCGTGAGAGAGAGAAACATCGATCAGCTGCCTCTTGCATGCCCCTACTGGGGATCAAACACACAACCTAGGCAGGTGCCTTGACTGGGAGCCGAAACTGTGACCTTTTGGTACATGGGACCATGCTCAACCAACTGAGCCACAGCGGCCAGGGCCACTGCCCCAATGCTTTAACCACGATCTGTGCGCCGACGCCACTCACCCTGGGTTCCCACCAGCACCAGCGGGATCTCGCTCGTGCTCCGGTAGCTGGCCATCCGACTGTAGTAGTGGTAAACTGTCTGGAAGCTGATTTCATCCTCCAAGCTGAAGACAAATATGACAGCGTCCACCCACATGGCAAACTAGGGAGAGAAGAAGGGGAGGAGGCAGAGTTGAGTGAGGAGGTGGGGGGGTGGGGGGGGGAGGGTGGAGGAAGGGCTGCGTCTGCACAGTGTCATCTTCAAATAATAAATATAAAATTAAGTGAGAACAAGACCTTAGGAACAAAGAATTGTGAGACAGGCCTGAGGAAACACCAGGACTGGACAGAGTCACCCCCTCCCTTCTCTACCTTGAGAACATTTCCTTCTCCCTGTGTGGAAGGGGGTAGGGCCGTCAGCTTCCGCACGGCAGGAGCACCTCAGTGCCTCAAGTCCCTGGGACCAGCCTCACCCCCAAGACCTAAGCTGCCACTGTCTGGACCTCCCTGCAGAGAAGTGCAGATCACGCCCCATTCTCTCCAGGTGCGTCCTGACTGCCCAGCACCAGCAGGTGGCGCTGTTCCCGGTCACCCCGCAGCTTCCCCTACCTACTACCAACTACCAAAAAGAGAGCGGTTCCCGCACCGCCCTCAGATGCCCTCGTGGCCACAGCCTCGGGAGTCCATTCACGACGCCGTGGTCAGCGGGTAGACAATGTAAACGCCGTGAAACCATGAAAAGGAAACTGTGCTCACACAGCTCACACGTGCCCAGGAATGGGAGCCAGAGAATACTTTTCTCCCTTGAATCTTTACGCACACTCTGCCTAATTTTGTACAAAACTCTGGCCATAACTTTGAAAGGGTCCATCGTGATACCTCCCGAAGTAGCAATCTTTAGGGTCAGCTTCTAGGCTAAGGTTTCTGAAGGAAGTGTGACCTCATTTGACGACTGGTCCCTGGGGAAACCGAGTGGACACATTCTCATGGCCAGAGGCGACGACGGAGACCTCCGGGGTCCCGGTCCTCCCCACCCCGGTGCTGGCGCCATCGGCAGGCAGGCCACTGGGGCTGTGCCCTATCACCAGGTCCGGCCTCGGCGATACCTCAGGGCATCGGATGGGAATGCTTGGGCAGCCTCCCCGGGCACCTGGAGAGCTAGAGCTGACCCAGGTGGGCACTCCCCCAGTTACCAGGTTCAGCTCACAGTAGGTGCCCAGCTCATGTAAGGAAAATGCTGAACTGGAGATGAAGTACATGGAAGAAAGGTTTTCCACACACGGGCTTTCCTATTTCTATGACGCCCACCGTTGAAGGAACTTTCCGCCTGCACCCAGTTGCCAGGGGGCTGGCTCGGGTGGGGGTAGAGGGTGGGGGAGAACACAGACGTTTCCAGAGGTCAAACAACGGCGCTGGCAGGTCAGCGCACAGTGTGCTTTTCCTTCCTGAACAACTCGGAAAGTGACAACTGGCTGCACAGACTGGCCCCCCTCTGGGATTTTATCTGAAGGAGGAACAGAATTAGTGTCTTAGAAATGAGAAGAACCGCCATCACAGAAAACACTCTCATGGGCTCCTCTCCCCTTTTCCTGAGCTCGCTGGGCAGATTTCTCAGTCCAGTTCCGACTCCAGGAATCAGAACTGTAGCCAGAAACAGGTGAATGAGGGCCGGTGAGCCCCTGGCATGTGATACTCACCTGGGCCTCGGGGGGGCCCCCTTCATCTCTAATCAGCAGCAGATAGCTCTGTCCGTCAACAACAATCTCTTTCTTGAATCTGCCACCTGCCACACACACAAAAAACCTCGTTACGCAGGAAAGAGCGAGCGTGCAGAGGGCAGACAGACGTGGGCTTCGCTTGTGGAAAAATACACTCGAGGCTGCCGCCCCGGAGGCAACTCTGAGCCTTTAGGAGTGGGTTTCGGATCTGCCTCCAGCAACCACTGGGTTTTGAACGAACTGAGCTCAGATTTAAGTGTTTGTCTTAAAGAGCCCGCGTTCATGTCTGTCGGAACGCACAGCCTCGTGCCAGGCCAGGGGGGCTCGTGGCCGCGGAGGGTGGAATTTAAGTGCAGGCTTTGTGCGTAAATCCAGGGATTCCCGCTCGCTGGGGACACTGAGGCACAGAGTTCAGAAGAGAGCGCTACAGCTGTCCTTCTCTTGCTCAGTCTGCCAAACAAACGAATCCGTGAGGCCCCCCGGGCGCCTCGTGTACAACATGCTGACAAATTTGGGGGCTGAGAACCTGTATTCTCCTCAAGAGAAACCCAGTTCTTGGTGGGAACACAGAACATCATGGGGATGGTGCTTCCGCAGTCACAGTTCACGGTGGGGGTGCCGACTACTACACACGGTTAGACAGCAGCTACTGATGGCAGCTCCGCACAGCAGACAGCAGAGCAGCGGCGACAGAGGGTTAGGACACGCGGGGTTAGTGAGAGCCACCAGGAACCCCTGTGGACGGGGGGAGGGGGGCACACAGAGGTGGCAAGGGCTGTCCTAGACATCTGAGCCCCTCGAATGCCCAGGTGGGGGGCACGCCACTGCCACCAGCGTCTCCCAGCACCGCCCCGGACTGGGCTGCCAGGCGCCCCCTGGACAGCAGGAGAGACCCCCACTCTGGGTCCCTGGCCCCTCTGCACCTCCAAAGATGAACCGCCTTCTGAGACTGAGCCGAGTTCACTCCAGGTGACCCTCGCCGGGTTCTGGATTCTGTTTCTGAGTGAGGAACCCATCAGTCCTGCTCCACGTGCAGTTCCTTCCAGAAACTGCATCGAAACCCCAGGTAACCGCTCACTGGAGGGCCAGCTGGCAGGACCTCCCACCGACCCAGAGCCCGCACGCCGGGTCCTCTGCCGCCCGAGCCACATTTCGCTCCACCAGTGGCCCAACGAGGGTCCTCCCACCCCAGTGCCTGGGCCTGTGGGGGTCTGGGGCACTCCAGCACCCGGGAAGCCGGCGGAACTGACGTTCTGCGCCAGCACACGCGCACCCACTCCCACACACCTCCGGGGGCAGCAACGTGACAGGGAAAACACACTTGCTTTACTGGGGTCAGTTTGCTCAATAAGAAAACCGAAGACAACTTTCCAACATTCAGAGGAAACAGTATCTCAGGTTGCTCTCCGTCACTGTCACCAAACAAGGGCAGTCTGCCCAGAGGAGCCAGAATAAGACACATCTGAGGGGGTGGAGCAGACTGTCCGCACCTGGATGCAGACCAGCCCCTGCACTTCCCGCTGCAGGAGGGTATGCAGTGACCAATCACCCCCAAATCGCTGGCTCCTCGAGGGGGAAGGAGATAGCACGCCCTCCTAGCGAGGCTGCTGGCACAGGACAGAAGCCCCCACCCCACACCCCCTCCTCCACACCCCGGCACAGCCATAGGACACTGACGCGGGGCCAGCTCTACAAGGACCCTGGTGCTGCCCACTCCTAGCTCCTGGGCTTCTGGCCTCCAGAACTGAGGATACACTTATGTTTCACTGCCCCCAGCAGGTGGTACTCGTTCCAGCAGCCCCGGGAAACTAATACATCCTCCGATTGGTTACAAGTTTCTGCTCTTTCTATGCATTCACCCAGGGCGTGTGCTCGTGTGCGTTCTCTCTCTCTCTCTCTCTCTCTCTCTCTCTCTCGCTCTCGCTCTCGCTCTTCTCCTCTCCCTGTCTCTTTCTTTCTCTCCCCTTGTGCTTGCTATAGTCTCTGGCTTTGCAACCTTTAGCCAAGAACTTCAGACCTAATTTTCATTGCCTCTGTAAGGAGAGGCCATTCTTTTTGACATCTGTAAGGCCCCTTCCAATTTTAAAATCACCTCTTCACCACGCCCCCCCCCCCCCCAGGATACAGTGTATCTTTTCAATATTTTACACTCGCAAGCATCAGCCACTTGCAATTGGCTTGTATAATTTTTTCAGGTATTATACTAGTATGTGCATCAACAAAACCAAAATGAAATTCTCATACCCATTTGCCATGAACCCAAAAGTTCAGTAATTAGATAGAAGTCAGCCAGGAGCTTCAGCACCCAGGTTGTGAGGAAGTGAGAATGTGACCAGTAAAAGTAATAAACGTGTCAAGTGAGACTGCAGCGGGCTCACCCAACAGGGGCAGCTGGGCGCTGGAGAAACATGGTCTCACCGGTGAGTGAAAGAATTTAAAATTCGTTTTCTGCAGCCGACCTCAGAACCAGAGGGAAAGCCTCAGGGGAAAGGGAGCGGGCACCAGGCTGGTCCTCCACGCAAGCCCTGCGTCTCACCCCAGCCAACCAATCATTCTACCAACGTCTTAGAGGGCACCACCCGACTCGACTCGACACCCAGTTTCATTTTTAAGGCAGATCTGACAACTGCCTGTTTTATAACCCAAATTCGTTACCTTCCTGCAGGCTCTTTCACCCAACTTCGTATTCCCAGCATATAAGGTGCAGCCTGGCCCAGGGCCCACGCTGTAAGTGTTACGTAAATGGTGTTCCACCTGCTCTGACGGCCACATACCATTACCATTAAGTGCCTTCAGGGATAATCTTATGTTGGAAAGTGTCCCCGACCTCCGCTCCAGAAGACATCGACACGTCTGGCTCACACACCTGCATACAGGTGCGCAGGGGGCGAGGCAGGCAGGGGCAAGCACAGGGCTCTGTCCCGGTGATGACATCTCAATGAGGAGGGACGAGGGAGGCCCCCTTTCACTTAGATCTGCTCCTGCCAAAGGCGTGGTGAGGTCACCGGGGGTAAGCAGGCAACGTGCTGGACAGAGCCGAGCGACGCTGGGCTGGATCGCCCCACTGACAGCGGAAGCGACTCGCTCGCCTCAGTGCGCCCTGGTCTGAACTCCACCTCACGCTCAGTGCATCACATTTCTGCTTCACCCGAAGGCAGGTCGTTGGGGTTCCCTGACAACTGCCCTAGTCACCGTGGATGCCCTTGAGCTCGCCTTCGACGTGAGCCACAGTCTTCATTTCTTCACCACGTGGGTGAGAGGTCAAACTGGACATACCTCCCAAGAAGGGGCTGTGGACACACGTGTGTTGTGACCAGCACACAGGAAGGGTAGAAACATCTTTTAGAAAGACTTAAATCAAGGGTGTCCCTTGTAATCTACTGTAACCAATTACCCTGAAACTTTCAGGGTTACTGTTCCGATTCCTGGCCTTGGGCCTGGGAACCAGCGTGGGGTTTGGGAGGCTGGAGTTAAGGGAACGGCTGGGTTCCCAGCCCCCGGGAGCTCAGCGTAGACGGGCAGAGCTACACGGAGCCCTGTATGCAAGGGCGTCTGCACAGAGAGGCATCGGTGCCCCATCTGTGTTGTCATTCTGCTTTAAGGGGGGAAGGAGCAGACGGAATTTTCCTATTCCAAAGAGGGGGAAAAAAGCTTAGAGTAAACACTGCCACAGATGTTTGACATTTCTGCTTCTATCATTTTGGCTAATTGGACTGAAAGCTATTAACGTATCATTAACATTCTGCAAGCAACAGAGATGGATGTGATAACAGCGAGCCTTCACTAGTTTGCATTTCTTCCCCATCACCTCCACTCTTCCTGGCCACCATCACCACCCAGATCGCCTGGGCAGACCACGAAGATCCGTGGGACACGGGCCGAGGCCCCGGGCCAGCTCGCAGCAGGGAAGGCCCAGGTCCACCCGTGCTGCCGCCTGCCCGCCTCTCTCCTGAGCGTTTCTGCACAGCAGAACATGGTGCCACGGAGCCCACAGCCTGCGTGTGGCTGCCCAGTGCCCAGAGGGGGACATCGAGAACACAGGCCCGTCTTGTCCTTACTCCACTCACAGCCCAGCAGGGGGCTGACTGTCTCCAGCTCCCAACTCATCCCTGTGTGTAGGGAAGTATAAAGAAATTCACCCGCCTGTCACTTTATTTCACTTTTTTTAACCATTCAACTTTAGTTTTCCATGCAAAAACAAAGAACGAAAATTTGCCTTGCGTTTCAAACTCTAGTACTATTTCCCTTTTCCATAAACAGTGGGAGGAGCATTCTTCTAGCGTCTGATCAGTTGTGGTCAACCAGCCGCGATCCTTCCCTCAGGTGCAAACAGGCCTCAGGTTGCCCGGCTCTGGTACTGGGTCTCCTGCCTCACAGGTTAGATTCCCGTCCACGAAAACCTTTTCAACATTTGCCTAAAATTTTCTTCTTCCTGACGCAGCCCATGATGAAACAGAAAGAATGTCTGCAAAATGTATTGCTTCCTAATTGTTTAGGACAGGGGTCCTCAAACTACGGCCCGCAGGCCATAGGCAAATACAAATATTGTATTTGTTCCCGTTTTGTTTTTTTACTTCAAAATAAGATATGTGCAGTGTGCATAGGAATTTGTTCAGTTTTTTTTTAAACTATAGTCCGGCCCTCCAACGGTCTGAGGGACAGTGAACTGGCCCCCTGTTTAAAAAGTTTGAGGACCCCTGGTTTAGGACAAGTGGAATGAGAGGGCTACATTGAAAAGAACCAAGAACCTTTTTCATTTCTCCCTAAGAGAATATAAAAAATCTTAATTACAAATGTGCCAGAAATTTTTTTAAATGAATTTTACTCTTTCTACTTTGACAAATATACTCGAGTCAGTAACTTACTAACATTGAGATTTTGGAGACAGTTTGTATGGTGACATTTAAAAAAAATGTTGGACCGCATGTTATTTTCACCCTGGGGACAAATTTTATCGGTAACATTTTAGTTTGTAAAATTTAACTGATCAGATTTCATTTCCTCTGCCAACTTTTTTTTTAACTTACACTGATTTTTTTTTAAGTGACTCTATAATCTATACTAA